TGCCGCTGCTACCCGCTACCACTGCTGCCGGATTTTTTCTAGCTGGCCTTTAAACTTTAATGCATGGAGAATTGCATGTCGATCGATCGACTCGGCCGCAGAATAGCCAACCTTCAAAATTAAGTTGTCTCGGTTATTTATGTTTAATTACTTGCTTCTGGCTTCAAAGTTTTTCTGCAAGTATCCGTAATTAATTACCGTCTGAAGTGTGATGAACTTTAAGCGGACTTCGATAGCGAACGGTGGTTTTAACGCCACGGATCGATTTAGATGTAAGCTGATTCTTCAACTCCCTGAACCATTCATCAATTAGTGATCACAGGGTAATCGTGAGAAAATCCGTAATTTTCGGCGAATTGAATGTTTTTTCTGCGGCTGAGGGAAAAACTCATGCATCTCTAATATACTCATCTGCATTTGGCTGGATTTTCGTCGAACTTCCTCCCCGCCAGTCGGAGAAAAATGACACCCAATATGTTAGGAGTCGTACATCAAGTATTTAGCAACTTTCTAACCATCTGCATAATAAATTGAATACATCAGAAACTATAAATAATTACCAACAACTGCAGGTCCCCAGACTGCAGCGAGTCGCTCACCAAAATGAAGAAATTTTGCCAGAATTTCGGGATTTGTGCGTGTGGCTAACCCGAAGATGAAGGCGAAGGCTAATGGCCCCCAAACGACCGCAACGACAGGCATTTACAAGTTGGCCAACTGTGCGCGACAAGTGCAGAAAAGTGGCAATAAAATCATCCAGGTACATCCTCTATACCCTTCATGATCCCAGTTTATCCGACAATTTGATTTGCTATCGAATACAAAAATTTTACATAATTTCAATACATTTTACAATGTAAGTATTGTTCCTTTATCGGCTATTATATTATTTTAATAAACAATATATTAAGTGTTTAATATATTTAGGTTTGCAAAAACAAAGTCGACAGCAAAAAAACTGTCAGTCCAATCTTTCACAACTTGTGGTATAACTTAGAGGAACTAGATTTATCAATAATATGTATGTTTCATAGTGTGACTAATAAAATTGACCAAATTACTTTGAAAAATAAAACTGTAGTCAATTGTTAAAGTCCTCGTAGAATTTGAAAAATGTAAGCTTATAACTATGGTTTAACCAGATTAATCTTTTTAAATAAATATGTAATGAGCTTATATTTCATTTCATGTGGGCAAACATCTGGAATCTTATTATACATTAAAGTGTCATTTCTTAACGAAAATTTCTTACTGCAACTGTAGGGCATCCCATGGATCAACTTTGAGCATTGCAAGTGTGTGCCACCAGCCAGGAGATGACCGCGACAACAGCAACTTTGGGGAGCGCAAGAGCAATATCAAGGCAACAGCAACAGGGGCCAACAGGCAATCGGCCAAACTGTCAGACATTGTGCGTTGTGTGCCAAAAGAGCAACCGCAAGAGCAACAGCAACAGCAACAGCCAGAGCCACAGCGAATGCAACATCAACAGCCACAGCAACTGCAACACAACAGCAACAGACAGCCAAGAGACAACGGACAAGCAACAGGCGCAAGTCAAGTGAATGGCCAATGACCACCAAATTGGCAGTAAAGCATACAAAAATAACTTCAAATGGTCAAAAGGTTAACAAAATCAAGCAGAGAACAAGAGGAGACAAGAGCCAGGATGCAAGGAGAAGCGTCTGCTGCAGCTGCACGCTCAACATGTTGCCAGCATTCCGTCAGGGGCAGCAACTGTTGCTGGTTGTTGGTTGCTAGTCGCCAGTTGCCGGTTGCCGGTGTGCCTGTTGCAGCAACGATGCCAAGCCAACAGCAACAGCAACAGCAGCAGCAACATAATGCCCCAGCCAGTGCGCAACGAAAAAATGATTAATGAGTTGCCTCATTACCTGGCGAAAATCAATGTCTTGCGCATATTCTGTGGGCCAAGAACCCGAAGCGAAGCCCAAACCTGTCACAGCCACTTTGCCATGTTGCTGCTTCGTCGGCGTCGTTGGTTGTCGCATAATAAATCGATCATAATTCTCAACCGAGACTCCAATAATATCGCATGTGTCGACGCTGATTTCGATGCCGCTGTTGATTCTGATCTGGGACCAGCGACAATCTGCTCCTGTCGCACACGACGACAAAGAAGCAACACAAGAGCAACAGCAGCAACATCAACACACCAGCAACATGTGAGTGATCCGAGACGATATTTGCCGCACTTGGGCTTTGACTTTGCCCCTTTTTTGATGCCTTTTTTGCTTTTAATTGCAGTCGCGCGCGCCTGTCTTGGCAACCCATCTGGCTGGCACTGCTGACTGATTTTATTTATTAAACTGTTGACATTCTGTTTTGCCGCCGCTGGCGCCTTTGATAGCCATCAGTCGATATCTGGCCGATATCGAACGAGAGGAGTGGCGCCGGCAACGGTTCCGATTTATGGCCACTTGCATTATTGATTAACTTCATCGCCGCGTTGTGACTTATTGGGGAAGATTCTCTCGCCCAAGGTCCAGATATTGCCGGGGATTATGGTCAGGTAAATAACCAACCTTTCGCCGGAGATTGAGTTACATTTTATCGCAGGTTCGATAAAGTGAAAGTGTGAAATCGTAAATGGAAAACTATTTAATCAATGATTACACAAACGCGGCCGAACAGATATGGATTATTACTATCATTACACAATATTATTTATTTAAAAACAGAGTGCCAAGCGGCAATTGCACAACAAACGTAAAAGGCCATTAAACCAATGCGATTGAACTCTTTATCGCTGCCTTATCTGCTTTGCGGCAACCATGTAAATAAGGTATAATCTATAAAACCGAACAGCAGTGCCAAATTGAACTTGAGAACTTGATGGAATGAGGTGGAAAATTCTACGATTTATGGCCGCTTTATCGGATTCCCAAGAGTGACTGGTTAAGGTTTACCTTTCCCACATAGAGCGCATATTTCCCGGTATCTATCTTTGACGATTTTCACACTATTTGATCTTGGGGGGATGGTAATAAACGAAAACCGAAATATTAAAGTCAACAGCACGGAGTGCCTTGTGGTTGCCATAGCTGTGGCTGTGGCTGTTGCTTTTGCTTTTGCGCTTAATATTGCTGTTGCTGTTGGTGTTGCATGTTGCTGTTGTCGGCAGCAACAGCAGCAGTGCAAACAAGTTGAATGGCATCCAGGGCAGATGAGCAGAGGGGAGGGCAAAAAGGAAGGGCCTGTGTACTGCCAACAGCAGTTTGATTGTTATTGCCAATGAATGAATGCACTTGCTCTGAGGATTTGTCTGCCAGACGACCAACTTATGAGTTTCCATCTACAACTCTGGCCAAAGAGCTCCCGCTCCAGCTTCATTGCCCCGAGGGTTGTGGCAACACATTTTGCGGTCTGCAGTTGCAGCTTCTGCTGATTCTGTTGCTGCTGCTTTTGCTGCTGCCATTGTTTCCACTGCCCCACCGCACCACTGCACCACCGCACCACCGCCCCACTGAATCTCCTTTTGAGCGGTGGTGGTGTTGCTGCTGCGTAAGCCTGCAGGGGGTGTTTATGCTGTTTGTTGTTTGCCGTTTCGCAACTGTGTGTTGGCAATGAATTGGCTGCAAACAACATTTCCGTTTTGGCCATTATATGGCGCCCACTCCACGAATGGGCGAGCATAATGCCCGGAGGAGATGGAGATAACTCCCCCATTGCCGCTGACATTTTCACACTCCTCCACGGTGTGGGTGGTGGAGCAGCTGTTGGCTGGCAAAAGGATTGCCCTGGCATTATCCTTGTTCATTTCCCTTATGCTTTTATTGTTGATGATTTATTGATGTCTCATTGTTGTTGGCACGGTGGGGTTTTTCCATCAACGTTTTTTTCGGTGGTTAGACGTAAATTAAAGGGGGTTAAGAGCCATCACTCTAAGGGGTCTGCCATCTAGCAATTTAAAAATCAAATAAACAAAGTATAATGGCACCATAGAAAAATCGCATAGTAAAATTAAAAATTTAAATGTTTGAATGTAACATTGATTTTCAAAATAAAAACTTATCAAAAAAAGTGTTCCGGAAAGTGTATATACTTTTAAAATATTGAACGAGTTTTTTTCTCCACACCAATGTCAAAACACTTTGCCATATAAATTTTGACTTTCAGACTTTTTTAAATTCATAAATAGTTAATGTTAATTTGATGGTACTCAAATTGCATATCTGTTTTTCAGAATTTCAACACCTTTGCCAGACAAAAGCACAGGGCATACGCTCCGCATGCTGCAACTGCTGCAGCAATTGTCCATTGTTTTGGGTATCCTGGTAACCGGCAACACATAACTACATAAATTAACGGACTTCGATGCTCGATACCAGGATGAGGAGGTAAAAAGGGGGATTCGGAGCAGAGCTGGAGGGATGGCGCAGTGTCGACAGCAGGAATCGCCACCAGTTCTTCAATTGATTTTCGAAACCACTTTGTTGGTGGGCCGAACTCTGGAACGGAACACTGCAGCAGTAACCGGACAACAGACAGCGGACATCGAACATTTGAAACAATGGGGCAGCAGCATAACAAGGGGTATTGTGTGCACATATTGAATGAATTGCCTCTGACTTTTATTTCAGTCTTTTTTTTGTTTTCTGGGACTGCAGGCTTCGGGTTGGCTTTGTCCTGGCCGAGGAATCGGTTCGATGGCGGGGAGAAAATGAAATCAAAGTCGTATCAATTGAAACCTGTTTCGATGTCGTTGTTAACACATGTTAACTGAGCGTGGCCAAATTGCCACAGCAAAAATACATAAAACATAACGAAAGAAAACAAGATCAAACGATTAAAGCATTATAAGCAGTTATCTATCCAAATATTTAATTACAAGATGAAGAACTGTAACTCTTTCATAAACATCTTGAGTATTACTACTTATTATGTTAAATCTACTCCTTTGCCAAATCCCCTTGGCCAAGATCTAATCAAGTCAGCTTGGTAACTTTCAAAAATAAAATGTCCAGTAGGCTCAGAATTTTCCGGCATTTTGCGTCTATCATTCCGTTCAACAACACCAGGCATATCAATCATATATTTCGTATATAAGCGAGCCATATTTAAACTTAAAAAAAACCTTTAAAATTCCGGTGGACATACTGGACAAACATGTCCAATCTGCAAGAAATACCGCTCGCCGAACCCGAAGGTCTAGTAGTGGCCAGCTCCGATGTGACCCCCACACCCAAGTCCAATTCGTTGAAGCGCTTCTTCAAGATCAGCAAGAAGCCGCTGATGCGGGACCAAGCGGAGGATGTGAGCGAGTCCTCCTCAACCGAGGACCCCAAGGAGCTGGGCAAGTCCAACACGATCAGTCGCTTCTTCACCCGCAAGAAGGGAGCCAGCAAGGGTAAGAGTTTTTTGGGGGAAATTGCTACAAAATATTAATTTTCCGATACTTATGGGATAAACAGTGTTGGGAAAGGTACTAGTTTTTTGGAACTAGGTAAGGTACAAGATATTTGTCAAGTACCTAGCACTGGCAGTTAAGTCTGGTGGTAGAAACATGTTAAAACAAAAATATTATACCTTGCATATGCTGGTGAATTGTCGTATTTTTAAGTTGCAGTGAAAATATGATAACATTTATTAGCATATTTTCGAAAAAAAAAATAATTTAGTGGTACCAATTTAAATTGTACCTAGGTAAGTAACTAGGTACACTTAAAACCCTTTAAATACAGTTTTCAACATTAAAATTGACAACTAGTTATTAAAGGGTACTTAAAATTACAAGTATTTTAAATAAAACAATTTAAACCTTTGTTCCCAGATGTTCCAGAACAAACTAGCTCGATAGCCGACCCCGAGGAGGGTGAGAAGCCACAGCCTAATGTTAAGCCCACGATTAAGACATCCATTTCGTCCTACTGGAAGATTCTGTTCAATCGCCAGAAGGGCCAGCGCCAAAATGCGGACTTCGTACCATCTAATAGTACTGGGAACGATCCCGAAGAAGTGCACGAGATGCAGCCGGTGCCCCAGGAGTCTGAGCACGAATTACAATCGGATGTCAAGGTAGAGCAGCCCGACATCGAAGAATACAGTACGGATCCGGAGCCACCACAGCCGGAGCCCAAGAAAAATGTGGCCAACAAGGCGTCCGGGGAGGAGATTCTCAGTGCATTGGAGGGCGGTCAGTTGCCCAGTGTCGAGGTCGAGGATGAAGAATCCGGACAGCCGGCAGCAGTTATTGTCAATCAATTCAACTAGGATATTTCCGGAAGGCATATAGTATTTCTGCCGACCTCTAGGCCAATGCTCACTACACAGTTCACTCCAGAAACATTTAAAGGATTCAAGATATTTCCCCCGCAATTAAACTACAACATATCATTACCGCTTTAAAACCACAAATTATAATTGCAAGTTTGCCTCACAATAAACACATGCACACTCAAAAATAAGCACTGTATTCTGATGACATATCATCCTGGTCAGCAAAGCCATTCGTTTTTGCCGGGGTCACAAAGTTCAGTTAAATCGGTTGTTAAAATATCTACACTGTGGTTTCGATTTTCCAAACGAGTTTCATGTTTTGAGTTGCAAACACAAGGGGTTAAAAGGTGCCGCATAAGCCAGACAAAATTCTGGTCAGCCCCTAAAATCGACGAGGTTTTCACTTTCGAGAGAAGCCCTACAGTAAGACACCCCCAAGAGTTGGCTAACTAAATTCCGTAATGAGTATTTAATTGTTGGAAGGTGTGGTTGAAAAGAATAAGGGGTTCTAAAAGATTTATTTATTTCTTGAATTACACTTGACATAAGCGTTGTAAATTGCATAGCTACCGTGATTTACTTTTTTGTTTTTATAATTATACAATTAATGTTAGGGTATGCGCACACAAATCTCTACACGAAATCGTAAAAAATCTCCAACTGATACCAGTTGCATATACAGAATAAACAGCTGTGGCATATTTACAAACATTGGGAACAATCTGCGCAAACTCCCGACGCGGCTAGAAATAGTAAATATTTACATCGGCTAGACCAAAACAAACACTTGTTGGAAAACGGCCGGTAAGTGCGGAAAATGTGAGATAAACACGCGATATGCGCATGTCCTACTTCGGAACAGCTGTTTCCCGGGGCTGCTGTCGAGGGTGGGTGGCAAAAGTGGGTCAAGCACCCACCCCACAATTTCAATTTCATCAAATTCCATCACATTTAAACCTAAAACTATTAAAAAACAAGTGAAATTTATTAACTAAATAAGTTTAAAGTGTAACCTACATAAAACCGCTTTCAAATGTCCTTTAAGGATAGCAATAAGGACAAAAATGTAAGCCAAGGGGGACTTGGGACATCCAACAGATGGCTGAATTCTTGCACAGATACACACCGTAAACTCAGTTTAGTTATAGAGATTTTTCTTCGTGGACGTAGCTGGCTGTTAAACCCGTAAAAAATTGCAAATCTATTGAAAAAACTAACCAATTTCGAGGTAAGTTTATCTAAAATATTATCCTTAGTTCCTAAGGCATCTGTGTTATATGAAAATTTCGTGTTATCTATGAAGTTACGTGTGCCATGAAGTTCTTTTGATAATAGCAGCTTCTTAAAGGGAACTGCGTTACGTAATCGTGGGTGTGGACTGTTAAATATTTTTAACAAACGTATATTTTACTTAAATATAGAATGCGAAGTCCCTCGGCAGCAGCTTCGGCAATGCGAAGGATTTGTCTGATATAATGACTGGCAGCTTTAAGGTGCAACTCATCAACATGGGCACTCGCGCTGCCGCCTGTAAGTTGTCCCCAGAAGTCTCAACTTTTCCGAGTGCTCAAAAGTGGCTTTTTTTCTGCTGTTTCTGCTTACAGTTCAGGCAAAACTGAGAGCCCTTCATGAATACCACGTACGTCTATTGCACAACGTCTTACCTGCGCCCTCTGGCGTCGATATTGCCAACAATATCAAATACTTCTCTCAAACTCTACTAAGTAAGTATAAATACCCGATATTTCTACCCAGAATAGATTTCAATTGCTAGCTTTTTAAAAATGTTTTTATTTTTAAGAACCTTTAAAAAATGTGTGAGCTAAAAACGCGAATCAATGTGATACAGGCATTGACGTCTCGCATCTTATAGTTCTTCTTTTAAACGCAGAGTTTTAGAGACTGAAGCCCCAATACTATAAAGATATGCCATTTTGAAATCGGATGTTTACAAAAAAAGTTATGGAATTAAAACTGAAGGTTTTTGGTACCTTTTTTAAAATGATTTTTTTCGGAATTTAATTAAGGAGTTATGTCGTAAAAACATCAACCCAAACTTTCAAAACAGAATTTAAATGCAATTATTAAGAGGATTAAGCAACAAGACTTTGAAGATATACAACTTTGAAATCAGATGCGTGAAATAAATGTTATGGATTTAGAACTGCAGGTTTTTAGTCACTTTTCTGCAAAGATAATTTTTTCGGATATTTAGAAATTACAAAACCATTTTTAAAGGCAGAGTTTTAGAGACTGAAGCCCCAATAAATTAAATTTATGCCATTTTGAAATCGGTTATTTGAAAGAATAGTTATAGAATTTAAACTGAAGGTTTTTGGTAATAATTCTTGTTCATCAAAAAATTTGATATATTAATTTAGAATTTATATTAGTTTTTTGTTAAGTACTCAAAATAATCCAACTCTTACATATTGAAAAAATTAGTCAAAGTCTTATCGTAAACAATTAATTAATTTTACAGCTGTCCTTAAGGATGTGCGCACCTCGCCGCACGAGCTCATCCGCGATCCTCTTGAAGATCCCACTCGCATGTCTGCCTATCCCAATCTCGAATATGGCAACCTCTACAATGCTCTTACTATGCTCATCGATGTGGCACCTTGCATCCAGTATGGACAAATCGGTGAGATTCCTTAATACTAACGTATTTTTATCATATATTAATTGATATATTGGTTTGCAGTTTTCGGAAAAGCCCTCTTGCAGTGCCTAAGCTGCATCTTACCCTTTCTCGACAAAGATCTTATAGATAATCTACCCTATCTGGTCAGCTCCACTATATCTGTTCTACCGCCAGCGTTGCACCAGGACATTGTCAATGCACTATGCTACTATATCTTACCTTTTACTATAAGTAAGTAGATGTTATTGTCTATACTTTTGCGCTAACCATTATTTTTTAACATCCAGCCCGTCGCAGCTCCGATGAGCAGGAATGCCAGGCCTGCCAGTCAGTATCCTCCGTCATCATGATGGTGCTGCAGTACTCCAACAATCCGGCGCACCACTGCCAGCTGCTGGAGTGCCTGATGACCCTCAAACACAATGTGGTCAAGGACATCCTTTGCGTGGTAGCCTACGGCACCGCTGTCTCCCGCACCTCGGCTGCCAAACTGCTCTTCTACTACTGGCCAGCCTTCAACGCCAATCTTTTTGATCGCAAAGTCCTGCTCTCCAAGCTAACTAGTGAGTTAAAGTCATATTTTTAATGAGTTCAAGATTAAACTATATGTTTTGACTCACAAACATCTAAAAATCATTATTCTAAGAAAACGGTCTGTTTTAATGAGCTTGTATTTCGTGATGCTAAAATATTACCTTCAACGATACATAAATGCCACATCTATTAAATACTTATTTCTTATAAAATTGAATTTTCCAGTGACTTAATACAATTTCAAAACAAATTATAAATCCATATAAAACTTCTGGTTTGTTATCTCTCAGTAAACTAAATTTTTTTAATGAGTAAGTTACTTACCAACTAATATGCCTCCAAGAGCCGCTACTTTTTAAATAAAATTTAAATAGGCACTTAAAAGAAAAGTTAGTTTGTAATGAATATGAAAAAAGTGTTAGATAAATAAAATTAAATTCAACTTATTAAAATTAAAATTAAATTTATTTAAATTCTTTTTATAAAAAAAAAACAACAGCTAAAGAAAACTTTTTTTTATAAAAGCTAACTGGATAACTGGATATACATTTAGTTTATCATTTTCTTTATTATACAAGTCCCAATAATATTTATGACTCACCCCATACAGATGACCTGGTGCCCTTCACCTGTCAGCGGGAGCATTGCCCGAATTCCGGGAACGCGGAGGCGGCCAAGGTGTGCTACGACCACAGCATCAGCATCGCCTACGCCCCCGACTGTCCGCCACCCCTGTACCTGTGCATCGAGTGTGCCAATGAGATCCACCGCGAGCACGGCAGCCTGGAGTTCGGCGACATCCTGCATCCGATGCAGCAGGTGTCGATGGTGTGCGAGAACAAGAACTGCCGCTCCAACGAGAAGTCGGCCTTCTCCATCTGCTTCTCCACGGAGTGCGCCAGCTTCAATGGCAACCACCCGATCCGGTACTGTAGCCAGTGCCACAGCAACAGGCACAACTCCCGGCGTGGTGGCGACCATGTAGTGCACCGCAGTCTGCAGCCCGCCTGGCAGATGGATCCCGAGATGCAGATGCACATGGTCGAGTCCGTGGTGAGCCTGCTGCGAGAGGCCAAGCCGCTGAACTTCGAGCCCGGCAAGGAGTCCTCGTCGTCCGAGTCCAAGAAAAACGGCTCCCCGCTCCCAGCCGACAACATTTCGCTGGAGGAGCGCCAGCGGCTGGGTCGCTACGGCATCTGGTTGCTGGTGGGCCGCTGCACGCCCACCGCGGACACGCCCGTCGAGGTGCTGGGCAGGATCCTGAGCATGCTCTTCCACTGGTTCCATGTCACCGCCTATTCCTACGATGGTAAATAATAATAAAAATAGTTTTATATTTCTTTTATACATTTTAAAAAATTGAAACAAACTATGTTTCCCTTCAGCCGCCGGACAAGTGGAGAGCACCATTGAGAAGCTTAAAGTGGAGCATGTCTGCGATTGGCTGAAGGAGATCTGCCGCATCCACTACAACGTCTTCATCTCCTGCCTGCTGCCTCATCCGCCCGAGTATGCCCGCGTTGGTGGCCACTGGGAGACGTTGGCCTCGCGAACCAGCCACTTGAAGGAGGGTCTGCAGAGGCTGATCTGCCTGGTGCCGTACGAGGTGATCACCTCCGAGATCTGGGACTATGTGATGCCGCACTGGATGGAGGCCATCACCAACGACGTGGCCGAGAAGGAGCTCAACGAGCTGAAGATTGTGCTCAGCAAGATCCTCGACCCGGAAATGTCGCCGCTGGGCTTCGATGCCAAGACCATGTACAACTTTGTGGCCATTCGGTTTGAGAAGACAACGGCCAAGGTGCAGCAGCAGGCTCTCCACTGGCTGCAGATCCTCACGAAACTGGAGATCCTCATTCCACTGGTGCAACTATTCGCCATGTTTGGCGACGGCGTTCGCATCATGAAGTATGGCATCCAGCACGAGCTGATGCGCGAGAAGGATGCCCAATCCCAATCGCTGGCCAAGGCACCCAAGACGCCGTGCAAGGAGAGCAAGGAGAC